TCCTTCAATATTTCATGTCAAGGCTTGAATTTTATCTTCAGTTCTTTCAGCTTGAGAAATGCTGAGCATGTTCTTCCTTTTTGGTGTTCTAACTCCAGGTCTTGACACATTTCATTGTAATACTTGATTTTGTCTTCGCACACTGCCCTTTGAAATGTGCTGTTCAGCTTTGACTTCATTATTTCTTCCATTCATTTTGGCTATTGTATTTTCAAGTGTAAGTTTCAGTCCCTTCTGACATCTACTTTGGTCTTTTTTCTCTATCCTGTCATTTTATTTCTTCTTGTATGATGTCCTTGATGTCATCCTACAAGTCGTTTGGTCTTCACTCATTAGTGTTAAGTTCATTAAATCTGTTCTTGAGATGGTCTCTAAATTCAAGCAGGATATACTGAAGGTCATATTTTGGCTCTCGTAGACTTGCTTTAATTTTCTTCAACTTCAACCTGAACTTGCATATGAGTAATTGATGGTCTGTTCCACAGTCAGTTTCCTAGCTTTGTTGTGACTGGTGATATTGAGCTTCTCCATGATCTCTTTCCATCCATACAAAACACAATGCCACTGAGTAGATTCCGACTCACAGAGATCCTGTAGAGTTTCTGTGGCTGTAAATCTTCATGGCAGCAGATAGCCTCATCTTTCTCCAGAGGAGTGGCAACCTTGTAGTTAGCTCAGTGCTTATCCTACAGCACCACCTGGGCACCTTTCTCTTCCCACAGATGTAGGCAATTTGATTCCTGTGTATTCCATCTGGTAAGGTCCATGTATATATATGTTGAAAAAAGATACTTGCAATGAAGAAGCCTTACCAAGTTCTATCATGGGATCTCCAGCATCATTTCTAGTGTGTCTTCTAACTGCTAATCTGGTATGGAGTCCTGGAGTGGCACTGTGGGTTAATGTGCTAAACTTCAAGGTCGGTTTGAACTGCAAGGTCGGTGGTTCAAATCTACCAACCTCTATACAGGGTCGCTGTAAGTCAGCACTGACTTGACAGCACTTAATGACAACAGCAGCAACAAGGAAGACCAGTTGCTATCACTATTATTCAAATATATCACTATTATTCAAATATATCACTATTATTCAAATATATCACTATTATTCAAATATATGTACCAACCACAAAGGCCAATGATGGAGAAATTGAAAACGTCTACCAACTCCTCAGAAACCCTATACAGGGTCGCTATGGGTCGGGATCGACTCGACGGCACTTAACAACAACCAACTTCTTCAGGCTGAAATTGATCAAGCATGCAATAATATGCATTGATAATTACTGGTGATTGGCATATGAAAGTTGGAAACAAAGAAGAGATACTGGTTGTTGTTAAGTACCATCCAGTTGGTTTTGACTCATAGCGACCTTGTATAGGGTTTCTAAAGGAGCAGCTGGTGCGTTTGAACCACCAATCTTATAGTTCAAACCAACCTTGCAGTCCAGTGCTCATCCTACACCGGTAGACATATGGATATTATCCCATCACAGGCAGCATTGTACTTCAAGATAGATCTTGGAATGTTTTCATGGTGACTGTGACGCCATTCCTCTTGAATTTGACATTCCTAACATAGTAAACCATATGGCTGTCTCATTCAAAATGGCCAATACCAGACCATTACAGTTCACTAATGCCTAGGGTATTGATCTTTATGTGTTCCATTTTGATGACTTCCAATTTTCCTAGATTCATACTTTGTACATTCTACGTTCTGATTATTACTGGGTGTTTGCAGCTATTTCTTCTGATAATCTGGTTACATATCCTAGCTCTGTAACCTCGGGCAAGTCACTTTATCTCTCTGAGGTATCAGGATGAGGAGAATAATAGATCTCTGCCATGCCTGGCACATACGGTGACCAACTAGTCTTAGTTTGCCTGGGACTAAATGCCCCAGCTTCTGAGAACCCCCTCAATCCCAGACAAGCTGGGATGGGTGTCCACCCTGCTGGCACCTAAGACTTATGGTCTGGTAGCGTAGTGGTTACGAATCGGGCTGTGAACCGTAAGGTCAGCAGTACGAAACTACCAGCGGTTCCGCGGGAGAAAGATGAGGCATTCTGCTCCCGTAAAGATTAACAGCCTCGGAAACCCTGTGCAGGGTCACTATGAGTCGGAACCGACTTCACGGCACATAACAACAACAACAACAACAACAACAACCCTTAGCTTAGCCCTTGACCCATTCCTCTCTCCTGTCTCTAGCTGGAACCAGAACTGAAGTCCATACCCCTGGCCCCTGTTGAAATCCAGGGCCTAGAACCAGCCACTGGCTATGAGATGTCTGGCCGCTGTCGAATGCAAACAGAAGAAGATCTATGGGGCGAGTGGAGTCCCATTCTGTCCTTTCAGACACCGCCTTCTGGTGAGGATCTCTGGGCTTGCCCCCCAAACCCTCGCCCCTGTTAGTGGAAGGCTGACCTATCAGTCACTCTCTTGAATTTTATCTTCAGTTCAGTTTTGTTCCCCATTTCTTTATCCCCATCAGCTCCTAAAGAAGTATGGGTGTCCGGGAGCCTCTGTGAGACCCCAACTGAACAGGAAACCCTGCTTCTGTGGAAGGTGAGTTGTGGGAACCAATTTCATTTCTCTACACCTGTCAGATGAGTCCTGGTGTGGCACTGTAGGATAAACACTCAACTACAAGGTCGATTTGACCTACAAGGTCGGAGGTTCAAACTCACCAGCCGCTGGAACAGACTTGCCAGCACTTAACACCAACAACATCTGTCAGGAAATCCCAAATAGCAGTAACGTAAACAAGACAGAGGTCATTTCTCTCATAGAAAGGGAGTTTGGAGGTTGGCAGACTGGGTTCCACCATTCCAGGCTCCTTCATCATACTATTCTGCTACGTTTTGTGTTGTGTTGCTTCATAGTCCAATATAGATGCCTGAGCTCCAGCCATTATATCTCCAGTCCAGGCAACCTGCAACAGGTTTTTTTTTTTTTTTAAATCTACGTGAGTTTTCAGTGGGGACAACATTCAAAAATGACAAGGGATGTGGGAACAGTTTTTATTTGTTTCTGGGAAAGCGTAATGTCTCTGGCTCTTGCCCACCAGTATCAACCAAAGCTTCCCACAAGATCCCCTCGAGGGTACCATTCTCTTTACCATACTCTGTACTTCTAGTATGGCTCTGTAAGTTAAGCGCTGGAGTGCTAACCACAAGGTCAGTAGTTCAAACCCATCAGCTGCTCCTCAGAAACCCTATAGAGAATTGCTATGAGTCGGAACACGCAACAACAACATACGTCAATGAGAAATGTGAAATTCTTAAGAACTGCACAGGCCACAAACTCACGTCAGGCACATAATTTAAGACAGGCCAGAAAAAACCCCAGTCATCAAGATAAATAATACTCTAGTGTGATTAAAAAAAAAAAAGCATATCAGCAAACTATGGCTTATGGGTCAGCTGCCTATTTTTGATAAATAAAGCCTGATTAGAACCAGGATTGGTATTAGAGCGAGACAACATCACGCAAGTAGAATTCCCTCCGTTATTCTTTCTTTACTTACAATGTTGGGTGCGTGCATTTGAGTTTTGATTTATTAAAATATTGCATTAAATATTCTTTATCTTGATTTTTTCGCTTTTTGGTGTCCCTTTAAAGTTTGCACCCAAAGTGAGTGTCTAAACTCACCCTTGTCTCAGCCTGGGAACCACTTTTTAATCAGAGCCCTTCTGAAATTCAGTTTCCTCTTTCTTAAAATGTTGTTGTTGTTGTTGTTGTGTGCCGTGGAGTCGGTTCTAACTCATAACGACCCTGTACAGGGTTTCTGAGGCTGTAAATCTTTACGGGAGCAAATGCCTCATCTTTCTCCCGCAGAACAGCTGGTAGTTTCGAACTGCTGACCTTGTGGCTTGCAGCCCGATTCGGAACCACTACGCTACCAGAGCTCCCAACAAAAATACTTTCCTCTCTGAAGAACTATTGATATGGGATCAAAATGACAACAGCAACTCAAAAAGATTAGCTGGGAAACCTAGGGGACAGGGAGTTTATGGGAATGGTGATTGTTGTTGTATGCTATCGAATTGGTTCCAATGCACAGCAACCCTATGATAGGGTTTCCGAGAGCCGCTGGTAGGTTTGAACTGCCAACCTTGCTGTTACCAGTCCAGTACTTATCCTACAGCGCCACACGAGTCTATGTAATGGAGGAGGAGCAATTCGCATAAAGCAGGTAAGAACAGCTGCATGACTTGAAGAATGTGATCAATGTCACTGAATGTACATGCAGAAACTGAACTGGTGTATGTTCTGTGTATATTCTCAACAACAACAAAATTCTTTGCTGGCTGGTTTGTTGGGTGACCTCACTGAAATACACAATCACTAACCCCTTCTTTCCCTCCTCCTTCAGGCCCCAGGGTCCTGTGTGCAAATAAGATACAGAGTCCACTTCCAGGTCAGAGGTCAGGAGCAACTCCATGAGGATATCCCCTGCTGTAGCTTCTCCATCCCCACCCTGGCAGAGTGGGCTGGGGTTTCTGCCATCAACGCCACAAACCAGGAGATCTTCACCAATCTTTCTTTGACCTGCTCAGGTAAGAGGCTGCAAACTGCTTCCATGCAGTAGGTACCCTGGGGGTCAACCAAGACTTCTCCACTCCTTGGTCTCTTTCCAGGCTCTGCCCCCCACAATGTGGTGGTCAACAGTACCTCTGACAGAAAGGTGCTGTTGGTGACTTGGTGGCAGGGAGCCGGGGAGCCACGGGAGCATGTGGTGGACTGGGCTCGAGATGGAGACCCCCCGGAGAACCTCAGCTGGATTTGGCTGCCCCCTGGGAACCTCAGTGTCCTGCTGCCAGGTGAGATGGTGAAATACCTGCGTTCCAGTCCCAGCTGGCAAAGGAGGGCAGAATAAGGGCCATTCTGGGAGGAGAAAGTGTTGTGGTATAAAGTTTCATTCGTTCATGCAATAAAGATTTATTGACCTCCCTGTTCTAAGCAGTGGTATACAATAATGGCAGCTGGTGCTTCCTGGGCATTTAATATATGTATGCAATTACTTAAACTTAATTTTAAAGTGAGTTTCTATTATTATAATGCTCGATTTACAGATGGGGAAAGAGGCCCAGGGAGGTTAGGCAACTTGCCCAAGGTCACACAGTAAGTCAGTGGTAGAATCAAAATGTGAACCACATAGTCAGGCTCCAACCTTCACATCACACCGTCTCTGGGCAAGACCCCTGCCCTCATGTAGCTGCCATTCTTGTGGGGCAGCCTGCCAATCACACAAACAAACATATCTGTAATGTAATTGGAGAAAAATAAAGCAGAGAAGGGGGAGGAGGGAAAACAACATTTTTCACAAAGAGAGGTTAGAAAAATATTTCCTGGGGAAGTGATATTTGAGCCAAGCCCCAAAGAAGGATGAGGATCTATGAGGATCTATGAGGGTACCTGAGGGAAAAGCATTCTGGGGAGAAGGAACAACCTGTGCAAAAACCCTGAGGCTGGTCCTTGCCTTGCGTGTTAGAGAAATAATAAGAAGGCCAATATGATAGAATAGAGTGAATAAAGGGTGACTTTGGGGCAGATGAGTTCAGGGACTTTGTGGAGGATTTTGAACCATGAAGGGAAGTGCTACGTCTTATGTACTCACAGGCGCCCTCTGGTGGCTGTTGTGGGGACAGACACGTTCAAAGCAGAAGCCAGAGACCTGATGGAGGAGTGCTGGTCCTGAAGTGGACCATTGAGCAGGGAGAAAGAAGTAGGCTAGGTCTGGTCAAGAGTCCCATAGCAGAAGTTTCAGAACCCATTTGTGTATGTTCAGAGTGTATTAACAAGCAAGTTAAACACGAGCTTACTTGCGCTTGTTTTAAGTGCCGAGCGCCCGTTGAGTCTGTTCCGACCCATAGCGACCCCGTATAGGGTTTTCGAGGAGCAGCTGGTGAGCTTGAACCGCCAACCTTGTGGTTCAATCTGACTTTGCAGTCCAGTGCATTAACCTACAGCACCACACCAGGATGACTACTTGTTCTTACAAGTGGTAAACTGCAGTAAATAATTTCAGATGGATTTCATTGATGTGGTGGAAAACAAGTGAAACTGTAAACTACAGATTGGTAAGTAAACCGTACTTACTGGTTACTCCATCCCTGTGAAGGATTGTATATTTGAAAAGAGGCTTTTGATTCTCTAAGAAGATGCTGTGGAGTTGAGAGATACCTGCCTATGTATGAGCAGAATATTAGATGTGGTAAAAAAAAAAAAAACCCCACAAAAAACGTGAAATTATTCATTACATATTAGTAAGTAAACACAAGGAAGCCTGTGCTTACCTTGCTTACTGGACACTCTACCACTGGGTATACTTCTGCGTTGCTCATGTGGTCTTATAATTGGGATCATCTGTGGAGCAGCTGAGTACTCAGGTCTGGACCCCAAAAAGGGTTCTGGGTTGGGGCTTGGTATTTGGGAGTCAGTTGTTGGTCTAGAAGACTTAAGAGGACATGAGAAGGTGTGAGTGAGAAATTAGGACAGTCCTGAGGTCCACACATACAAACTAAAAACCAAACCCCACTGCCATTGAGTCCATTTTAACTCTTAGTAGCATCACAGAAAAGAGTAGAACTGCCTATCTATGGAAGCAGACTGCCATATTTTTTCTCCTGCAGAGTGGCTGGTGGATTCGAACTGCTGACCTTTCTGTTATTAACTGAGTGCTTAACCACTGCACCAGCAGGGCAAAAGAATAGGACCCTCAGTTCTGAACAGTTGTCCATTGGGGAAGGCCAGGCTGAAGAAGGTTTTGAGGAGGGACTTTTAGCTACTGTCCCAGGACCTGTGGTTGTACCTATATTTCCTGGCTCAGCGGTTTTTCCTGGAAGCATTTGCACAGGAGCATTTTGCCTTCGTGGGTTGTTGTTGTCGTCGTTAAGTGCCTTGAGTCAGCTCCAACTCATGTTGTTGTTGTTGTCAAGTGCCATTGAGTCAGAACCAACTCATAGCGACCCCATGCACAGCAGAA